CCCGGAGGACGCGGGCGGCGGGACCAGGTGTCCTGCCGCTCCCGTCATCCGGGGCAAGAAAATCCCCATTCGTAACTGCGGATCCGACATAAGTCGGATCCGCGTAACTCGGGGACTGCCTGTACAGCTGAAACTTCTGCACTGTCATTTTTGCAGTGAGTAATAAAGTAATTGCTCTGTTGGCTCAGATATTACAAGGACCATGCAGATATGTAAGCAGTCTAGTTAGGGTTTTAGCATAACGTCATCCGGGGCAAGAAAATCCCCATTCGTAACTGCGGATCCGACATAAGTCGGATCCGCGTAACTCGGGGACTGCCTGTACAGCTGAAACTTCTGCACTGTCATTTTTGCAGTGAGTAATAAAGTAATTGCTCTGTTGGCTCAGATATTACAAGGACCATGCAGATATGTAAGCAGTCTAGTTAGGGTTTTAGCATAAGGTTTAGGGAAGCCTGGCCCACCTCAGTGTCCTGTCCCATGTGAAAAGTACCATTTCCAGGGCACACGCATAAGAGGGCATCTTCAGATTTGCTTTCAATGAGATTTTTGCAGCTAAAGCAAGACTGAGGGACTCTTCACATCCCTGCTCAGAGGAGCTGCCTAAGGGCTATTTACCACTGTCGTCACAGGTGGCTTTGCCAATGGTGCATTGGTTCCATTTCACCCACAGAAAGCATGAAGCCATAGTCCCAATGCCTGGAGTAGGGAGCTACGCCCTAACCTATGAGACAAGAGCCCCTGCTGTGGAGTGAATGGGGCGTGGAGAGGAAGCTCACTCTCTAGATCTTTCTCCAGAGCCCCTGCCCTCTACATTGGAGCAGGCCTAGGAAGGCACTTCTGGAACAGATTGTGCTGCCGGCGGTGACCTGTATTCTGCCTGACTATAGCAGAGTGCTCCCATTTTTACGGGTGGTTGTGTAAGTCTCTGGCTTAAATCCCATTTAAGTGATTAAAGTAAAACTGGGGTGAATTTCACCCAGCAAACAAACAGGAAAGGAACATGTGCATTGCCCAAGCCTGCTCACTGCCACATTCACGTGAATACTCACAGTCAGTGTTTTGCCATATTCATCCCGCTCTGCTTGTGACCCGACTCATGAACAGAATTGACTCTACTCGCAGTGGAGAAAAGGCTATTGCATTCATCACTATGCCATCAACAACACAACCAAAAGATGTGTGTTAACTTGATAGGGAGATTTGGTTTTGATTAAAAATTGTATCATTGGATGACAGGCAAAAATGTAGTCACGGGAAATTAAGATTGCAAAAATGTGGAATTCCAACACCAACGATAGTCTAAGTTGCTAATATTTGCCTGCACTGAGCACCTACATACTTTTTGCATTTTATAATGTAACAATGGTAATATAACAGCTACGGAGCAGGAATAGATTATACTAAATGCCAGTGTTACTAGAAGCACAGGAAGCCCAAAACGTCCTTTTATAAGACCCTGTTTTTAGTTACTTATAACTTTCCCACATTTAAGTATGAAACTAAGATCACATAAGGATTCTGTATGGAACTTTAACTTTTGTATTTCATAATATTTTGTGATTTTAATTATATAACACTAAAACAATGGGCTTGGTTTTGTTTGGGGTTGGGTTTGTTTATTTGGATGTTTTTAATTTCAAGTTTTTAATGTTGTTTTGTTTG